ATCTTATGATCATTTCATAATTAAATTATGTTTTGAATTCAAATAGTTACATTTCTATTGATTCACTACGTAAAATTTGACATAAGAAAATAAAAATATAGGTCATAAGACAAGAAAATTTGCAGTTTATGTGTATTTAGACTATGTTTGTAATTTTACATAATATAAAATATTTTTTACTGCGATTATATATTTTCTTACGGTCCCTTTTTTGCATCGGAAATAAGACAAAACTTACGGAACATAAAATTACGATGCATTGATGGTAAAATAGATGGGGTGAAGAATAACTAATGATCATTCAGGGTGCAGAATAAGTTATTCTTCACCCGAAGTAATCTTACGATCATTTCATAATTAAATTACGTTTGGAATTCAAATAGTTACATTCCTATTGATTCACTACGTAAAATTTGACATAAAAAATAAAAATATATGTCATAAGACAAGAAAATTTATAGTTTATATGTATTTTAGACTATGTTTTTACGTTTATAATTCTTCACCCCCCCCAACATGGCCACTTCTCTGGACATCATCGTCGGGCCTCGTTGGGGATCAGGATTAGGGCACGCAAAGCGGCGGTAGCGATGTTAAAACGGACCCCTCCCCTCAGCTGGCGTGCGGGACAAAACAAGACGCGAGCAAGATGCACTGTTGTCACATTCTCTCTACTCTTCATCCCTCCCTGTTTCACCAACAACGTCAATGACATCCAAAGTTGAGGATATGTTAATTGTTAGCAAGTCACGTGGGCTCCAAATATCTTCTCCCTTTAGAAATATTTATTTCTAATATTTCATTCATTTTTAATTATTGTATATGATGATGTAGTAGGCATGAACATTAAACTATGACAGTAATGCGGACTAAACTGTGGTTGGATGGTTAGATGGATAGTGGTATCTTGAGCCCACCAGGTTCAAGTTCTGGGCTCGCATTATTCCTGAATTTATTACAGCAAGTTTATATTTAGCATTCATACGCTCAATGTTTTCCTTAGTTAACTCATGCATTTTCAAAATCAATTCATCACGTTCTTTAGCATCAAAATTAACCTTCTCCGAAGATGGAAGAGGCAACAAATCAATAGGTGCACGAGATAGGAAACCATATACAATTTCAAAAGGGCACATCTTAGTAGTAGAATGCAATGAACGATTATAAGGAAATTCAATATGAGGCAAGCATTCTTCCCACATTTTCTTGTTATTCTTGAAAACAGCCCTAAGCATAGTAGACAATGTTCTATTGACTACTTCAGTTTGTCCATCAGTTTGTGGGTGACAAGTAGTACTAAAAAGCAGCTTAGTCCCCAACTTAGCCCATAAACATCTCCAAAAGTGGCTAAGAAATTTAGTATCACGATCTGAAACAATAGTATTTGGCACACCATGCAAACGAATAATTTCACGAAAGAACAAATCAGCAACATTAACAACATCATCGCTTTTATGACATGGTATAAAGTGTGCCATTTTCGAGAACCTATCCACGACAACAAATATGCTATCCTTCCCCTTCTTTGTTCGAGGTAAACCTAAAACAAAGTCCATAGATATATCCTCCCAAGGAACACTAGGAACAGGCAAAGGCATATATAAACCATGAGGATTGAGTCGTGAGTTAGCTTTTTGACATGTAATGCAGCGAGCAACAAAATGCTCAACATCCCGTCTCATCTTTGGCCAAAATAAATGTGTAGCAAGTATATCCTCCATCTTCTTGACGCCAAAGTGTCCCATTAATCCTCCTCCATGCGCCTCCTGCAACAACAAAAGACGAACGGAGCTAGCTGGAATGCATAGCTTGTTAGCATGAAACACAAATCCATCGTTAAGAACGAACTTGTT